CCGCGGCCGTATCGACGATGCAAGTGACACTTTGCGAGAAATGCGCATTGTGTGAAGTACACATAGCCGGAGTTCTATAACATTGCACAGCTGTAATCATCACAATGAATATCTCCGATGGAATTCCTGGAGTTTTTTCTCGAATGATTCTTCAGCGATTAGTTCATCGCTTCCAATCGCAGGGTGCAATTGCAAAATGAGTGTCGGTTATTTTGGTGTGAACGCATGCATGGCGCATCCGCGAAACAGGACTAAGAAATTGGCTGTTTGGCCAACTGGACACGGCTGTTCCCTAGAGGATTCGTGACCAAGGATTCAGGGCCCAGGAGGCAATTTGGGACCACGGTCCTATTAGTTAAGGTTTTGTAAAACGGCCATCTCCCCGTACTACCTGTTACCTATCTCTGTAGTAAAACTGCTACCAGTTGCAGCCAGCATGAGCGGGTTCATCGGGCTCAAGAAGGGCCCCAGACCTTCACATAACGATGCGTGAAATGTCAGATTGAACAAGTTATTCGGTTCAAGGACTCGAGGCGAATTCCAAGGGTGAACCCGCGACGCGATCTCGGATAGATATCGAACACCCCGCCCGTAGTATTTTCCTATTGATCCAACCCTTGCGCTGACCTTCAGCACAGTAACTTACGCTGTTGGGAGGTTCAGATATCCCATCCGGAGATTTTACAAGGTCCCCGATTGGTATTCCGACATAGCTAATCACTTTTGCTTTTGCTGAAAAAACAGGAAGGAAAGGAAGTAGTGTAGTGGCCAGTGGCGGCCTGCTTCCCACGCGCGTCCGGGGTGAATCCTGGTGCTGCATCGTCCAGGCAAGCGCCTTCCAGCCCTCCGGGTCGGCCTCCATTGGTACTAGACTTTGTTTGTGATGATAAATCTCGACAAGTGTGCACTGGGAATGGTCTCGCCGCAATTCGTTTTTCAATGCCAAATCACATTCATTTGCCACCATCGATTCTGAAAATTTGGAGAAGGTATATCATGGCGCATCCAGATTTGTCGCAGCCGAATTTTTTGTCCTTTATTAAAATGAACTATGTCCAATAGATTACTTTTCCAGTATTGTTAGCAAGATTGGATTGAAATAGGGCTTCAGGTGGGACTGCTAAACCCCCGTTCTCCCGATTTTACCCCCGTCCGATCGATCAATAGTCGATGTGGGCGCCGCAGTGCGGTGTTTAGAGGGATGCACCTGGAACAGCCTGAATAAACAGGAATGTCAGCTCCGAGGGGAACGCTTTAGCGGAGCTGGAACGATTTCTGAATCACAGAGCTGCCCCGGGAGGTGCCACCGGTCCATCATCTGCTCAGTGGCCCACAATCCGTTGAAATTCTAGCCCTATTACATCGTAGTGGAACCAGCTGCTATGCGATTAGTCATCTAGCATTCTTACGGCGGGTCCTAGCCAGCATTTCTGCCTGAATAAATGAAATTGTACCAACCTGAACAGACCTTGGTATAGCTGAGCGATCTGAGAGTGAGGCTCCTGAGTTTGACTTCAGATTCAGTGAAGAATGGAGGGCCAAGAGGGCCAAGAAGAGGGTTAAATTTCAAGATTCATCCGGTCGAGACAACCAAAATAAGCGCAGCTATAGTGTGCTTATGGTGATGATCTCAGTCGGAATCGTCTAGTGAAGTGAAGGAAAGACAGTCGAACGGGGACGCGGGGGGGGGACGTTGCGAGACCGCGGATGATAAGGTCGGGGGGTTTGTTGGTTCATCGGGATGTTTTGTGGGTGACCTTGCAGCAGTCGGTATCAGCGCCGCCGACTGAACAAATTGGAGCTGACTCCTCTCCCCGCCGAGACGCAGCCACCAATCTCAACCCCGACTGTTACAATACCCTATGGAAGAAATTTTCTTGACAGGACGGGGGGGCTGGTCTTATCTCTCGTACTGTCAGCGTCAAGAATTAAACACCTAGCACACCAAGAACTGATAAACCCTTGGGGAGGTGATAATCGGTGACAGGGAACTGATAAAGGGCTGGTGAGAATTTCAACGACAACCTTCCCCTACAGGGTAACACCGTAACCCCGCAACCCTACAGTAAACCCATTCAGCGAAAAGAAGGTTATGGGGCTCTAGGAGAGGTAGTAACCTGTAACCAACCGTTCAGTAGTTCGGAATAGGCGCTACGAGCTGGAGCAACAGCAACAGCAACAGCATGAGCATGAGCATGAGCATGAGCAGTGAGTGAATAGCAGTTGACAGGGTAGCCGGCCGGCCAGCCAGCCAGCCAGCCAGCCACGAGACGAGACAGCAGCAGGAGAGTTCATTGAAAGGTGTGGGCAGAGCCTAACAGCGACGACCGAGCAGGTTGCCCGCTGCGGAGGTGAGTGGCAGACTGATATTAATGGCGCGGGACGGGGACGGGAAGGGACGGGCTGGCCGCGCCCGCCGCCGACGCTGACGCTGACGACGACGCCACCGCCTCTGCCTGAGCGCTCGCTGGCTGGCTGACCCCACCAAGCGCCGCCGCTAGGACGACGAGCGATAGGCATCGATCCCTCTATAATCATAAATCAAGGTCATAAATGTTATCTAGAGAAATGCGACACCCAAACCATCGAATAGAGCAGCTAACAATGATATAGCAAGAATACAATCGATCAATAATGCCTCGAAAACCTGGTTGTGTAATCTGGCCGAGCGAAGCATTCTGTGCCCGCTATCGATTGATCAAACAATCATCGCTACATGCTGAAAATTCCACACAGTCCGTCGCTACTTTCCAGCCGCTCAGATCTGCAGAAGAATGAATATCGATCGATAAAGAGGTTCCGCCATGCACTCAGAACTCTTAGCCAATCACAGAAGCGATTGTATCGATTGAGACGTAAATAGTAATTTTCCTATTGGAGCAAAAACCAATCGAGTTTCCTCATCCATCCAGAAAAACGACTGACTCATGACTTGAGCCAGGTCCCTGTTACTAAGGGGGGGGGGCAGTTTGGTGCAAAGCATCATAAAAATGTATCCTTGAAGTGCCTATAATTCAAATTGACACGATTTTTAGTTGTTTAACAACTACCAATTTCCCCATTGGATCAAATAAATTGTAAATTCGTGCATTAATCTTGAACTGGTCATGAGTTGTGCCAGGCTCTTGTTACTAAGGGGGGGATGGGCAGTTTGTTGCAAAAGAGTAATAAAAAATGTATCATTGAAATGCCTATAGTTAAAATTTTAGCAACAGTTATTTAGTATTTTAACAACTAGTAATTTCCTATTGGAGCAATATTTAATTCTCCATTCATTTAGAGAAAGCGACTGACTCATGAGTTGTGCCAGGCCTCTGTTACTAAGGGGGGGGGGCATTTTGGTTCAAGGCGGCTAATGCATTTGGCACCTCGCATACTGTTTTGTTGCCATAAAATATATCTGAAATAGTATCATTTAAATTTGTAATAACTACCTTATAACGAAAGTTATATCAGTAAATAGTCTATAACCTACCATTAAAATAATAATAACAGTTACCTTAAGAAACTAGTTTACCTACCTGGAAGCTCATTTCCTCCTAAGCTAGGGGTACTGTAATCCGCATGAACTATAAGATGCATGCACCAAAAAGTTTGGCAACCCCCGCTAACATAGACCGATTTACGTTTTATTGGCCTAAATCGTACCGTTTTTTAGAGCCGGCATGGAGTGGTACACATTGGAGCTGTAAAGTTTCAACTGTCAGAATACACAGTGGATCTATAAAACGTCTCATGTGTGGGGAATATCTATAATAAAGCCGATGTGGATCGATATATACTGTATTTTTACTCATGCGATGGATTTCCACAGGTTGTGTTGTCGGCGCATTTCCAGACATAGGCCTTTTTGATGTCGTGTGCTTTTACATGCAGCTACAGCAGTCATCTACTCTAATGTCTCCCCGGAAAAATCACTACCAAGGTTGCGCGAGGATGAAATCGAAGGAAGCTGGCCTGCCGCTTGGCCGCTTCTTCCTTTCAGGACAAATAAAAATCGTTTTACATTATTCTGTGAAAAAAGGGACATTTGTGCTATTTCAAGCATTTATTTCAGTGTAGACGAATTCTTGTCGATGACTTAAGAGCATTGGTGGGTTACCTTCCGTATTCGAAGAATCCTGACCGCGATACCTGATATTGCTTCACTGCTACTGTACAACTACAGTTTTGCGGAATTAAGAAAGTTCCAGTCAGTTGAAGGTTACCATAGTACGACTTTTGTCAACCAATTTAGCCGTTGTAGGGTTCAAGAAAATAGAGATAGTTTCTTCTCAGACAGGTCGTTGCGATCATTTTGTACATCTATTGAGCCGCACAGACTTGAAGCGGTGGTCCTTAACGGTTATCATCGTTTAGGGTCTTTAGAGCCTAACCCTGATGTTCGAAGTCCTAATTCGTAGATTCCAATGTTCAACTATACTATACTTCGAGAACCCTCCCGCAAAAGGAAACCATAGCGCTTTGATTAGCCATTGAAATCGCTTACCTCATTCCCATGTAAAGGCTCGGGATCAAAAGGCTTCAATTATAAACCGTACCTTGATGTGTACTTGCCATATGATTGCGCCTTTACAAATGCTGATAATTGAACAGGGTCCAACTGATTGCCTTACTTTTGCAAAGAGCTTTTTCCACGAGTCCTACTGGATGCTACAAGGGGAAGACTTGTAACGTACTGTAGCCGTCTTAAGGATCAAGAAAAATGCGAGATTGCTTGTTCGCTTAGGTTTGGAATCAGATTCAAAAGCTGCTTGGGGGTGATACGGACGTGTACAGCACTGCACCCGGGAAAGTTCCTTGGCACATCTTGGAGTTCACTAGCAATCAACTTTTCTCTCTTCCATTTCTGTACGGCTTGAAGATCTCGGAGCTCCGGTCTTCGTTGGGAAATATTTTCAGAAAGGGATAGCGGGCAAAAACGGATACCAAAGCAGAGCTATCTCTGGAACGTTTTTTGACTGATTTAGCAAGAAGGCTGCGTCATGAGCAAAACTTTGCGCTCCACGGGATTCGAACCTGCATCTCTAGCTTACCATGTAAGTGTGCTACCAATTACACTACGAAGCACTTTATCAACATAAGTCAGCTTTTGATGGCTTACCACCGCTTGTCAGAACTCACGCGTCTTTCGCGAAAATTGGTTCAAATTTCTTGATTTCTGAATAAATCGCGTTGCTCAATTGGCATAGTTTATTTTATGTTTTTTTTTCTTCAGGTGAGTGACTCGAAAAAGTAGTTTGTTCTCCCCTCCGCACGTGTTCCGCGCACGAAAGTAAACAAATTGAGATATCCTACTTCTGTGCTGATGGAAGTTTGTGTAGTCTATCGGATTTACAGGTGCCGAAAATGTCCACGATAGTAGTGATAGTCGAGTGAGTATTTATTGCACTGATAATTAATCAATGATAGTAATTGGTAGGTTTCATGAATTTTCCTGTAACATGAAGTCCGACCTGAAATTGACGCGACTTCAATTTGGATAACAGTCGTTTCTGATTTTGCTTAAAATCAACCTCATCCAAG